GGGGGGGGGAACTCCCGTGAGTTGACCTTAGAAGCTAAGGATCTCATCACCACAAAGTGCAGTCTTCCTCTCAACTCCTCTATGGCCATGGAACCTTCACTCAGCCATTGGCTGTGCGGAGTCAGAGAATAAGCTTCAAGTATTTTGATAGTGAGCTAGGAGTTTAACTGTTTCTTTTTAAGGTTACAACCAGTTGTTTTTATTTCGATTTGTTTTGAGCTGTCTACCCCACCTTCCGAAGCATCCTGTACCTCTGATTCCTGAAACATTCCAAGATCTGGGGACTTCAACCAACTTGCTTCTCCACAGCTGTTCCCATTTTCTTGGGGACTGTTAAGTTTGATTGATTACCATCCTGTTCTTCCAATGTTTTGTTGTCATCTTTTATCTACTCCAGCTCTTCTTACATTCATTTTCCCTTGTGTGACTATACTGTTTTTAGTCTCTTTGGGTGGATAAATACAACAGTGAAAATAATGCCATTTAAACCTGTATTTAACTAAAACAAAGACGAGCCACATTTCTTTACATTTCCCTATCCCAATTTAAGAGCTGTGGACCAAACTTCAGAGGTGAAGTCTCTTGTATGCCATAGTTTTTTATCGGTTCAAAATTCCAAAGGACAGATCAAACTATGAGGGTCATTTTTCAGTCAGTGAGTATCTTTAATTTCATAGTCAAGATCAACTAATAAAGATTATTCACAACAACCTCTCTATTAGTGAGATGGAAAAATCTTGAGAAAATAAAGTCTTAACTTCTGCGAGACAAATGAACTTTGAAATCAAATTAGAGGGCAAGGAGAGCTGACACTATCCTAAAATAATCTAGATGATTGACAGTGGTGACACCCAAGTACATCTTTTCTGATCTGACGCATTGAGAGTGATGCTTCCCCTTTAATATGTGGTAAGCATGCATCATTTTGCCAAAGAGCAAAACGTAAGAATTTCATACATTTTATGCTTCCATCTCCTTTCCTTAATTGAACTTGCATAATTCAAGAGGATGAAATAACCTAGGCTTTTTAACACCATGCTCTAGGAAGTCTATTAGCAGTCAAGAGAATGCCCTTCCTTTAGCAAATGGCTAAGAAGCACCCATACCTAAACCCCTGTAATGCAAGATTTCCAAGGATTTCCTGAAACATACCCCAAATGCCATCATCCCTTAAGTTCTTCAGGTATTTCAATAGTGACAAAAATGATCTCCGATGGATTTCAAAATGGAAGTTTCTTTAGTTACTATTAGAATTTTATCACTGCTGTTAGCAATACAAAACACATGTTCCTCATCTTCCATTAAAAAAGGCATTCCCAGAACATTTTTACTTCAAAAGATTTTTTCAGTAACCACCTATCTCAGTCTACCCCAGAAGATGCAAACTTGCTGATGTTAATTTGCTTCATAGGAAAGAAAACTGAACGTATAAGAGACTATACTCCCTTATGCCCAGTTATTAAGCAATTAGGTTCTGCTGGCCAAAATCCATTGTGTCCTTTAATATAACCTACATAAAGGAGTTATGTTGTCACGGGGTCTAACATACTGTAGTACTGTAGTTACATGATTCATACACAGAGAAAAGGTGGGCTACAAGAGTAGGGAAAGCACCTGAACTGTTTCCATGTTTGTTTGAGTTTCAGATGTGACCACTGGCCTGATTACCCTAATCAAGGGTGGTTATGACTCTTCACGCTTCCATAACCATATCCAACACAACGTGGACCCTTTGGCTTCTGTGGTGTGTGCAAGCATGATGGGACAGGAAGAAGAGCTTTGCTGGGTAATAGGCTAACAGCCTTGAATTAGCAGCAGCTCATTAGCTTGGTCTTCATGAAAGCCACCTGCAAAGGATATACTAAAATAATGTTATCCTTCTTGAGACACAAAGGACTCACTTCAAGGTTTAACATCCCATCACAGCACCACACTGGCTTCAACCCATAGCAACTCATCTAGGGACCTGTGCAACTGTCCTGCTTCCTACCCCTCCAGACTCACCCCACGCTCAATCATACTACTATGCGCTAAAACAATTAACAAACCCCCTCTCTATCTCACTACTGCGCCTCTGGTCCTCGCCCCAATTCCCCACGTATTGGCCTTAACAATTTCGCACCCTTAAATCTATATCCACCGGTGAAAGCCTCGGATTAAGTTTTGTCCCTCCGTCCACCTTCAGCACTTCGTAATTAACATAGGATCTTAAGAGATATTCAGTTAATGTACGTGAATGGATAAAGTGAACAAAGGCCTGTGAAGTGAGATGTGTGAGTAAAACTCCAATCCACGCATGCACGGAGAGCACAAAACATTAACAGAGATTGAGAAAGAGGCAGACGGGCAGGAAGACTCCTGAAAGAGCTTGTCATTAGGCCCCAGTGGGGCCACTGTCAAAACTAAATGCCTTTTAGTTCCAACCCATGCTCTCCTTAGTCCAGCTCCAGGAGCCGGGCTCTCCACCACCACGTCGACGGCCCGGGCACCGAAAGGGGTCTGGGGGGCAGCCCCCTCTTGCGTGCAGGTCTGTTAGAGGATCAGAACCACCGGTCCCTGAAATGCAGGGGAGGACGCAGCCCAAGCCAGGGATTGAGCGGGCGGAGTCGGCCCCGCAGTCCGCCGAGAGAAGGCGCCAGCGCGAAAGCAGCACGAGGGGCAGGTGCCGCGGGCCGCCCTAGGCGGGCCGCACCAGGAGCGGAAGGCCGGGCCGGGGACCGGGGGTGCGCCTTGCGCCGCATTACCTCTCCAGGGCCTGCAGCGTGTAGCTGATGAGCGGCCTCTCCAGGACGGGGCAGAACTGCTTCGGGGTGGGGACGCCCATGCGCTCCCCACTACCCCCCGCCGGCAACACCGCAGCCACTGCGGGAGCGCGGCGCCCAGCTGGCCGAGCCTCGGCCCGGGCCGCGTTCAGCGTAGAGGCCGAGGGTGTCTGGTCCGCGCCGAGGGAGTCGCACAAGCGAGGCCGCGGCGCGGCGGGC